TATTATTATTATTATTATCATTATTATTATTAAATTCCCATCACAATTTCTAATTGATCTACTTCCTTAGTTTTTTTTAGTTGTTGAAATTTTATTGATATGATTATAAAAGAAAATTACAAAAATTTATGGTAAATATAATCTTACATGTTAATTAATGATTTTTTTTTATTTTATTAGAACTCATGATATTATATATATATATATCTACTCATACAATAATATGTGGAGATTGTATATAAAAAAGTTGGGTGAAAAATTATTCACATATCATTGGCTAAAGTATACATTTAGCCCCTCATCTTAAAATAAAAAATAACTTTGCCACATACACAAAACAGTATTAGATGTTTACAATCAAATTAAAAATAACCAAATGTAGTTTCAAATATTTTAAAATTAAAAAAAAATAGTAAATTAAAAATAATTAATGGATGACTTTGCCACATACACAAAACAGTATTAGATGTTTACAATCAAATTAAGTTATTAGCTCAATTTAAAGAAAGAAATCTAACTGAAATTAAAGAAAATTTCTTGGTTGTATTCTTCTAGTCTCATGAATTTTCTATTTTAATTCAATTAAGAAACTTTTTTTAATCTTAGCTAGAATTTTTTCTTCAAATTGAGTTAATCACTCAATTTGATTATAAATATTTAATTATGTTCTAGTGTATATGAGAAAATCATCTATTAATTCTTTTTAATTTACTAATTTTTGAAATTGTTAAACTTTTGAAACTAAATTGTTGCATTTTTTATTTTCGAGAAAATCATGTAAATATTTTATTCTTACCTTAACGAAAAGTTAACAAATTTTATTAGTTTAAAGACTAAAATCTTTAGACCTTTAAAATTAAAGGACTAAGAATTTTACAATACAAGATGAGGTACTAATACCTTCAAACTTAGATAAGGGGCTAAACACATTCGTTAGCCCATATCATTACACATACAATTAATAACAATTGAAATTTCATATTTACCCTCTTAATTTAAATCTAATGTAATATTGAAATCTATGTTCTCATTTACTCAATAGCGATAAAGTTGGAAAGAGAGCTTTTAATGTTTTGCGTAAGATAGAAATTGACAACTAAATTAGGCACCTATTTTCTCAATTTTTAATTGTTTCTCTTGTCTCATCTATACTATATTAGAGGCAAATTCACTAGCATATGGGTACTCTTGTATATAAATTATCCACATAAAGTTAAAATCTTTTCTCTCTCTCCCTCTGTTTTTTTTTTCCCCCTTGTAATTACTAATCTACTTTTCTCTTTTGTAAATCACAAACAAAGCAAGCTGTAAAACTCATATTTCATCTGCAAGGGAATCAATTTTCCAGCTGGTGGTATCCTTTTTGCTGATTTTTTGTTTGAAGCCTTTGACACGTCATAGGCCTATACACAGTTCTAATTCTATATGCCTATTTACTCATGTTTAGTAATTTTCAAGATATGGGCTAATAATAGCCTAATACCTTATACAAAACAATTTAATTTACGTTAAGCTCACCAAAACAGAAAAGTCACTTAATTAAAACCGTTGATGGGGGAAAGACTCTGAATGTGGGGTGATCTCTTCCTTTAATGGTTATAATTTTACAATTTAATATAGATTAGAATATAATGCGCTCTTCTTACACCAAAATGCGTAAAAATTACTTCGTAAAAATTTTAAATGCCTATAACAGTATTTGGAGTAGTGGGTTCCCCCACTTTCCTCCTCCACAATAAATCTTCAACTGTTAGATTTAATTAGAAGTTAGCAAATGATTAAGGAAATTATAACTCCAATATATAATTAATGTTATAATGGGTTCGGGTATTCTGCACCCATATTAATAAAGTAGTACTAGTTCTTGTTCAGTAAATAATTGTCAATTAAGGGTGTTTGCGGTGTGGTTTGGTTCGATTTTTAATATTTTTTAACCAATCAATTTAATTGATTAGTAAAATTTTTAAATCAATCCAATTCATTATTATATGATAATCAAACCAATTTAACTTAAATCGGATCGGTCTGGTTCAATCGGATTGATCGATTTCTAATACTATTAAATATATGAGATAATATAAAAATTTTTGACATTAAATAGAAAATATAACTATAAAATACATTAACATCCAAATTACTAGAAACATAATAAATTGCATAAATTATAAACAAGTTCTTATATTCATTTATAATTGTAAAGATTAAAAAGATTTGAAAATTCTTCTTAAATATATCATTAGAGGTATCAAAGATAATAAAATATAACTTTAAATTTTAAATACAGAACAAGTAATTGTTAAAAGTTAAAACTATTTTTTTTCCTTAATGCAACAAATAATTCAATCCCATCTTCCAAACCTTGTTAAAAGCAATTAAAATTTAACATAAATGTCATTAGAAATTATTAGAAGCATTCATAATTAAAATTTAAAACTTCTTAACCAAAAATAGTAGAATATCAAAATTAGTTCTATCATATAGTTTTAAGACTTCTAGAATGATATTTCTTAAAATTTAGTTAGAAGAATTAGAATATTATTTTAAGAACAAATTAAAAATTTAGAGTTCTTAAAATAAAGTCATAGATTAGTTATAAAAGATAGAGTTGCAAGTGAATTGTAAATTTAGAATTAGAGTTAGAGTGCACAATTTAAAAAAAAAATTAGAAAATAGAGGATATTCTATTTTTTTTAAAATTAAAT